ATGATAGTAAGAGTTCTCTAACCCGGTTTCATTCAATTTTTTGCTTTCCTTTTCTTGTTCCTTCTGTCTGTTGATGGCACTCTGCCAACAACTGGAGTCAGTCAGTGGGAAAACTCTGTTAGTAGTCTATGCCCTGTGGGACGAAGTGGCAACAACATTCGCTACAACAGATAGTGGGGCATCCAAAATTTAACTGGTTGAGTGATTTTGTGTCTAACGGATGCATCCAGTGAGCTTCTGTGTTTGAACTGCTCAAACACAGGCATGGAGGTAGGTTATTATACATCCATGTCTGAGTTGCACTATTCATGCTTGGTTGAAGTCTCTGTACCTGAAAAGCTCTTATGAGAGCTTTGCTCTTTTTTGTAGTGTGTGTAGTTCTACTGGATTGAATCCTACCCTACCAATGAATATTTGGCAAAGATTTGGTAACATGAATGCAGTAAAAAAAAAAAAAAGCAAACATGTATATAAACAATGTAAGAACATTTAATATTCAAGAACTATTACAGTCATATTCAAAATGAAAATATTCCTATTGTAAAATAAAGCAACCTTTGTGCAGGAAATAAACACATTTCTCATGACAAGCATATTTTTGTATTGATTATTCACTGGATAGATGTAATACTCTAATCCTATATGGTGTATATTCACTAACTGTAGGCAGGAAATTGTCACACAGGAGGAATAAAAGCTTGAAATCTTCACTCTGTGCATAGCGTATCTATGGAATGTACTGAATCTAGCGAATTAAGTTTATTAAGTTTTCTATAACTTTCTAACTTACCCAAGATGATTGTAAAAAGCATGTGAAACATGAGGGAGCTGTCAAACATTTATTTAAAGAATAAATACACGTCAAAGTAAAACGATGAACAAAGTTTTAAAAAGACTTATATTTTGTTCAACAATGACTGCAATTAATTGTGAGAAATGAATTAGGACACTTGCACATCTCTTCTAATTTGAAATGACTAAAATGACATATGCATATATCACATCAAGTGCAATTGATACGAATATTGGGCATCAGGCAACAGCGCATTCTCTTCCTTGTTTTCCTACTATGGGCTTCAACGAGGCACCACATCAGATTCAACAAACATCCTTAACTTCAGATAACTGTGTAAACGATCCTTCTAAAAATGATACATCCTACCTGTACATAAGTGAGAAGCAGTAAAAGCCAAGCAGTGAGTAATAAATCACAAGAGCAATAAAAGCCATTTTGCCTGTTGGTTGCAATTTTGCAAAAGTAAAAATAAAAATTATTTGATTCAAAATCGATTTCAAAAACATTTCTAGCAAAAGCAAGAGTATAATGGAAACTGGTGGTCGAGGTAAGGGGAACACCATATGATGTAAATGCTTTGCCATCAATCAACATGACACAACAGTGCAGAATCCTCTTTTAATGCTAAAGCACACATGTATTCTACATTTCCAGACCATATCTGTCATCCTGTCTCATACAACACATTAACATAGAAATGTTAACGGTTAAACTTTATTTTGATGAATTAAGACAGACCCAAACCCATGGATTCCACACGAGTAATGCTGCCATTCAGTGAAATAAATGAATGTCTATTAGAATTTAAGGTTGAGCCTCCTTTCTGAACTGTCCATCCTTTTCTGTTCAAGATATTATTGCAATAGTTCACTGCCTACACTTTCTTCAATTAAATAACAACAAATTAAACCAGTTTCCCATGGGAATTGACATGCCACCTAAAGATGAAGTGGCCAATTCTCTCATCAGCGGATAAATATTTTATTTATATGTGCAAAGTTTCATAATGCATTCTGTCATGGTATAGCCTAATTCATTCTGGATTTTAAAATGGACGATTGCTTCAAAATAACAACAAACTTGGTCACTTTGTGAAAAAACAAGGCTTGGATAACTGACTGCGCAAGACTTCTACATAAAGTCTTTAGCACTTTGGCAAGTTTCTTGCACCTGAGAGAAGATTAGAAATAGGAGAAAAATGGTTAATGCATTTTCTCCGAAAATACTAGTACAAACCATTTTAAGAACGAATGTGTTCAGACAGATGCCTCTTGCATTAGTCCCATTGTTCTAATCATTTGCATCTCATGGCTGGAGAACACCACTGTAAATCATGAAAAGTCACAAACAGCTGCCTTTCTGTATAAGAAAGATTGCAAAAGCTTAAGATTAGGAAAGAGAATTTTAAAAGGCCTTAAATCATCTTGAAGCTGCTGACGCCAAAGTCCAAGGCAAAAAAATGTAGCTCTTGTGCATTTAAAAACAGAGGACTTTTCCTTTTTTTTCTTTCTTTGATTCATGCAGGTTTTCAGGGTGTATTTTAATTTTGCTTTGACATTTCAAAAGGAATAGTAATTACAACTTCCAGGAAACAAAAAATGTAATATTTTTCATATTTCCTGAGGTAGTTATATAACTGTTGAAAAATAATCAATGCTACGGATCTATAATGAGTGCTGCGGACATCATTATAGGTCCGTAGCACAAAAGAAGGGAATATTGTCTCTTCCGTGTCAGAATGCCTAAAATGGCCCTTGTGAAATCAAAGTTTTCCTTGGCCTATTTTATGTGATAAAATGTTTGTTTGAATAGGAGTAATGATAGAGAAATCCTGTACTATTCACAATGCTGTACTGTTTAGGGGGACAGAAAGCAGATGCCTTCCCCTCCCTACTCTAGACAGGGGTGAAGGGAAGGTCATGAGAAATCATTAGTTCACATAGCCTCCTTCATATTATGGTTAAAGTTTATGCCCTTCTGGGGTGAACGAGAAACAGTTATTTGAAATGTGTATCTGAGCAAATTCATTTCCTTTGATGAACTAAAGTGTTTCTCGTGAGAAGATTCAATGTTCATGTGTGTGTATGGTGTGGATTCTTTTTAAATGTAGGGGTGTGTTTCTGAATGCTTCAAAATCACACTCAGTTGTATTCAGCTGGTTTGTGCCATTCTCCTCAGCAGATTAAAATAAAAACGTTTTCTTCCTTGCATATCATATCAACTGTCAGTGCTCATTTTTACTCCACACTGTTTTCTTTTTGTTGTTTTTATGAAATATGCTATCGCTAAAAGCTAAAACACCTCAAAACATGCAAGTACGTGGTTCAAACCCCACAGTCTGCCACTCTGGGTCCCAGGATAATGTTCAATTTGAGTCTCGGAGACTCCGAGCTGCCCACTGGTCCCTAAGGCAGGCGTGGGTACACTTGCTGAAGTATAAACTTGTTGAGGCAAAAACTTCAACAACACTTTGGAACAAACCCTATGAACATGGTTCGTCATGCAATTAAATTCATTACAAAGTTGCTAAAGTTTTTATCTCACTCGCTCATTGAACCTCTTCATGCACCTTGGAAGTTGATGACATTGTGCCAGAAACTTTTGGATCTTAAAGGTTTAACCTTCCCAGTTAAAACTAATTCTAATGTTTATTTTATACTGTACATATACATCCCTTAGATGAGTCAGTAATAATTATTTAGCCATTATTTTATCTTAGTTTAGATACACAAATATCATGTTTAAACACCCGAGTAATTAACACAAGAAAATATTTTTTCTTTTATTTTAAAGCTAATCATTTTAAGAATAGATGTGTTATTCCAACATCTTTACACTTTTAATATAAAGATTTTTATTTTATTTACCACCTGCCCTGGTAACAAATACCTCAGAGATGGGAGTCAGTTGTGCTAAAACAAAAAACGTAAATGTCTGTTAGTCAGCATAATTCATTAATTAGGAACAGGAGCTGAAAAATATATCTGAGGAAGATAAGAAAAGGAGTAGCAGTTGTATTCACCAAAAAAAAAAAAAAAAAATTGGTAATATAACCATAAGGATTTCATATTTATCAGTCTTGGCCCAAAACAGTCTGTGTGGATTACCATTAAAAGTCTAAAAACTGAAATATAGACTTAAATTTACATTCATCATAATCATAGCCTAGAGGTCCACAGAGCATTTAGATATAGTCATACGCACTTTTGGACAGCAGTAGTTGAATGGAAACAGTAACTTTGTTTTTAGATGTTGACAGTTGTTCTTTGAGCTGAAATAAATCTCCAACTAGCCAAATGTATCTTTCTTGTAACTTCAGATAAAATATTTCAAGAACGTTTTTAAACCTCTGACTGGTGGTGCACAGCAATATGTGGGGGTAGGGCAGTGGTTCTTCAGTTTAATTCATCTAGTTTTGACACTTTCTCTGCCATAAGTGTCATTTGATAAAAATGAATCTGAACCTATGGAAATTGTATAACATAAAATATAACTGGGTCTTAAAAAGGAGTATGTTCCAATAAACCTGACCTGGCTCATACTGGGGTCCAAAATTTGATGCAAACTATTAGAACCCATTTTGAGCATTGACTTCGATATAATTCAAGCATTATGTTTTGTGATATAAATAGCTACTTTAAATGTATAAACTTAGAAAACATTTTAGAATATTTGTATAGAAGCTGCTGTCCCTGCTCCCGACTGCACCACAAATTCTGGCAATTCAGCCTGTCCCGGGACAAAGATTTGATTAATTCTAAGTGACCCACTCGTTTGTGCAGAAAGCCTCTCACGTGTTGGACTCATTAATAAATATCGAAGATGACCTGGTTCAATTCAACAGAGTTCGTAATTGCAGACACACAAGAAACATCCACCGCACACATCCAGGGAGAAGTGATCATTTAAATCTATATCTGCACCCCGCATTATCTGCCCCCACAAGAGCTTGGAGATAAAATGATCGAGCTGATCATTAAATGCCCTCCATTAATAACCAGTGGGAACTCTCTCACACATACACACAAACAGGTTGATTTCAGAACCACTGGAATGCTTCGGATATTGTCATGTATTAAAGTTGCCATGCACCATGTCGTATCAGTCATCTCAAAGCTGAAACACGACATGCGTCGAATCAGGCTTTGTGCACAATCTCTATACAGATAATGATGATGATGGGAGCGCTTAAGGTTGAGTCTACCTGATGTGGATCCAGATGCCAGTACGCAGAGAGACGGCGCTCCTCTGCACAGTGGTCCGCTCGCTGCCTCCGGCGATGGACGTGCGTCTCAGTGAAGTGCGTCTATGTGTTTTTCTGCTGTTTATTTGATTGTTTGTCCAAGCTTGTCTCCTTTCTCTTCAGATGTATCTGACATCAGCTGTGACCGAGAAGAGGCTCCGTCGGTCACAGCGGCTCCTGATGTGGTGATTGAGATTTTTTTGGATGCAAAGCAGCGTCTGATGTGATGCGCTCTGCCTCCCTGCTTCTCCGTCTCTCTCTGCTTCTGCCTCTTACACTGCGTCAGGCACCACTTCCCCTCCTCCTCCTCCTCCTCCTTTCCACCTCTCTCTCTCCTCTCTCCTCTGTTTGACTGCTTTGACTCTACCTCCCTCCTGCACTGGAACAGACGGTGATTAATTCGATGGAATCCAGCCTCTTTCCTCCTATAGCTCTGCGCTTCAATCACCTCCAGCCCGTCACTTCTCTGAACTGAAGCGAACAACAGCCAGCTGTTTCGGCATAGAAAAGGGGGGCTTGGACTGCACTTGAAGCTGTGAGATGGTAGCTACTCTCCACAAAGAAAGAGATGGAGTCGTATCAAACTCAATCTTGCAAACTTTTTAATGAACATTTTAAAAAACCCAGCTGAGTGGTAGAATGAAACAGGCAAACAGCTTTTTTTTTTCCTGGAGTGATTGATGCACTATATTTTTTTCAAAAACATGCCAGATTGAAAATTTCCGTGCTATCTAAAGTTGGTTACTTTGCTAAGTACACAAAAGGACAACAATGTCCCATCAGCATGATACAGTAAGATTAGTAGGATGCCCAAGCCTCCATGGGGCCCTAAGCGAAATTTGATTTTTGGGGCCCTTTTTTATTTCTGCTAGTAATGTCTGTTTCTGCCATCTACAGTCCATTATTCATATCATTCAGTGTTCTATTTGTGTACATCAACTGGGTTTCCATTTACCATCAAATTTGCAAATTGTAATTATGTAATTATTAAATACATTAGCAAAATATAAACAATGCAAATTCCATAGAAAAAAGCAATTTTTCAAATAAAAGTTTTTACAACTGGGATGGTTTTTCGGTCAAATCAAAACTGCAATGAAAAAACTTATTTCAGATCCCATGAGTCATGTGATATGCAACTGGATCTTACTGCCTTGTAAAAAGTCAAAGAAGACCAGAAGAACTTAAAGCTATAGTGTGATGGCGGAGTAGGCCTATAGTTGCATTCAGTGTATTCTCATTATCAGTTCGTATGAAATCGTACGAAAAGTTATGCACCGTAATTTCGCACGTTTTAGACGTTTTTTTCGTGGTATTTCGTCGTATTTTTACGTCTTGCCTCGAGACAAGATATTCTTGCGCATGCGCATTTTGCGCACCATTCAATAACAGAATTTAACAGACAATTAACCCTAACCCTGCACCTAACCCTGACCCTAACCCTAAGATACAAAACAGCAAGCAGCGTAGTTAGAGACATGAAGAAGTAATTATTGCATTGTTTTCCCCAGTTTTACGTCCTTCCGCGGATCTGCTTTTTTCGTCTGTCTGGTTGCGCATGCTCACTGATCTGTTTTTTCAAGGAAAAACGTCAAAAACGTACAAAATACTGTGCATAACTTTTCGTACGATTTCATACGAACTGGTAATGAGAATATGTTGTTGCATTTGTGAGGCTGCGTAATGGGCGGTGAATTGAACTTGGTACTGCTGCAGAAATTTCACGTACAGTACAATACCGCTAACTGGTGGTATGCGGGTTTAGATGCAACAAGTTGTGCTGAACTCACGCAGCGTGTGAGCCTATGCTCAGGGTAGCAAATACAGTATTACAATATTACACATACAAATCCTCTATGCATTTGCGGATCTCACACGGCAGAAGTGTAGCAAAAATCATGTCTGTAAATGAGAGCCAACCGAGAAACCGCTCGACTTTTCATTTCATACAGAATGTTCAAAAGTTGCATTTGTGATATCACTACTTACAGGAAGAGCTAAGCAGTGCAACACTGTTGAATGGCAAATAATCCCTATCTTTTGTTCATCCTGCTCAGTATTTGTTAAGGGACTCATCTTAGATCCAGTATTTCCTAATCAAGATGCAGCAAGTTTCTTATAATTTAAGAGAGGTAGAAGGTCTGTTGCTCAATATATCATTGACTATCATTCTCTGAAATACAGCAGTGGATAATCTAGGTCCAGAAAGTAAAGTAAAAAAAAAAAAAAACATGCCTTGTTTCCTTTTTCCTTTATCCAATTCACTTGGCCAGGTGATTAGCCCCTCAGGTGTTTAGTCTGTATTGTGGAGCTGGAAATGCAAATGGTTGGAACTGATCCTGAACAGGCCTTTTACTCTCTGAATTACTTAAAATACTTTTAGGATCTCTCTAGCCACATAGACCTTCTCCTCTCTGAAAGGAAAAGAAAACGATGTCATGAGGAATCCTAGTCTGTTTTTCCCAGAAAGTGTTTTTTCTCTCAAAAGAAATCTTTTCCAGGTTACCAAGAGACCAATCTTTTAACTCATCCTATAACCCCTGAATCTGAAGCATTACTGTTGGGTTACTCCAGACAGTTTGATAAGGAACAATTACACAGGAGACAATGAATGTGTTTCTATTGCAGAGGCAAGCTCAACAAAAAGCTCTGACTGCCAGCTCAAAGGACACTACTGAGCCATCTCCTCATCAGTTTTCCTGCTAGACTTGTGAACTCCTCCAATTCCAATCAGATCTCTCTTTTATTAATTCCAGAGTGACACTCAGTATTTGGACATCGTCCGAAAGGAGTCATGGTACCAACTACCTTCCAGTTTTTTTTACTTCTTTGCCTTGCGTGGACATCATTTAACCGGTACCAACCAGATAACTAGAAGTTAGGCCTGGTTCTTTGTGAAAATCGTTGGGAAGAGATCAAATTCATGGCCATCCGCTCTCTACACATTCTCATTGTTTTGGGTTCCACTTTTTGTACAGCAAAGCTAGTGACTGCCATGTAAAATGATACTGGGATAGACAAAAACACGCTCTTCTTCCCATTTGTTTTTTGCATGTCATTCCCCTGCTCCTACTGATGCCAATGAGTATTTTGCCATAGTATTATGGACTCCTGAGGTACTTAATAAGCCTGGACCATAGCATTACCTCAGCCAGCCCTAAGATTATTCCATAGAAAGCAGCAGGAAGGATGCAGTAGCTTCTGCTTTCACCACTGGGCATCAGGATTTCACCGCGGCATTCGAATCTTGTGCTAGAAAAATATGTTCTAGAGACATGCCATAACTTACACTCTCATCTCTATCTTTAAGGAAACCTTCTTTTCCCAGTGCTGGGAATTAGGAGGATGCTATAGACCCTGCTCCTACCACTGTGACTCTTGAAGCTATAACAGCTTTTTGTCCGGTCAGAGGAGCTGAACCTGACCTGCATGGTGGCTCAGTTTAAATCATTAAAGATAGACTCCAAATAAAGTTTCCTTTAGTCCCTGTATTCCAACAGGAGCTCCTCCATCATCTCTAGTGCCATGTGTTAGGGCCCCAAGTAATGAGGGGTTCACCGTGGTTCCAAGTCTTCTTTATCTGCAACAGTTTCATAGTTTCCCTGGTTCTATCATTTTAAGTTTTATTATCCTTAGTGCAAGCCTGACAAGCTTTTAGACATCGTGGTATGGCCTGTAAGATTTCCTCACCTCTAGGATGAGCCTTCCAGGTTTCCAGACCTCAGACCTAATCCTTCAAGATCCAGGCCTCTGTCAGAAACATGCCAAGTTACAGAACTTTGACCCCAAGGCTGCAAAGTTGCCAAACCTATGGCTTGAGTCCAAGCCTTGTCCAGGTTTCAAACCTTGTTTTGGGTGCTACCTGTTGCCTACTAGAGCTCCTATGCTCTCTCTTTGCAGATGTCTTGCTGGTCTCTGCTCAGCCATTGTTGCCAGGAATCAGTTCCTCTTCTTTGGTCTCTCAGTGCCCTGTTCGGTTTTCATCCTCTTCTCGTTAGAAATTGTCTTATTTGGATTATTTTCTGGACTGTAGCTATTAGCCTAGTAATAAAAATCTAAAACCCTAAACAACAAATGTTTCAAATAGTGAAAATATATATATGTTCACTCACCCATTTAGAAACAAATATGCTTGTGCAAAAAAAATTACACACTTTAACAAAACAGTTCAACTAAATTGAGTGTTTTGTTTTGACCTCAACATTTGACTCAACAGTTGCTGTTTTTTTTTATTTTAAATTCTTTTACATTTAAAAAGCACTAAATGTAAATTAGGAACTGAAGTGAATGGCTACAAAGCATTTGACAAAGAGGAGATGCAACTAGTGTAAATTAATATGGACCTAGATTGGTCTCAATTTTCACAAATACACATATGTGATTCATACATGCACAATAAGATCCACTCATACACAGAACGATTCATACAAGCACAAACAAAATCCGCACACACACACACAGTAGAAGATCAATACACGCACAGGAGAAACCTAATAATATAGTGCATGCACAGGAGAGCATGCACTATATTATTATTAAATTCACAGGAGAAAAACATGCAGTTATAAACGCTTAATTTAATATGACATAATTAAATCTCACCTTCAACATCAATCGCACACGTTCTGCCCAAACAGTTTTGTTTCTCTGTCGGTCTTTGTAAAAGGAATAATCAAATAAAACGGGTTTGTTCTCTACCTCCAAAGAAGTTTGGAGGTAGAGAACATCTTTAAAAAAAATTTTGAAGTTGTGAGAGGCACTCTTGGAAGGACTGGATTTGATTAAACTTTTAAGCCTTCCAATGGGCTCACCACCTGTAGGAGGGGCCAAAGGGGTCAGGTGCAATGTGTGATGGGTAAAAATCGAGGTTGGGGACAATGGTGTTCTGATCCTCGACTCAAGAAGCTGACTTTTGGGACATTGAATGTCACCTCTCTGGTGGGAAAGGAGCCTGAGTCAGTGCGCAAGGTTGAAAGGTTCCAGCTAGAGATAGTTGGACTTACCTCGTTGCATGGCTCTGGCTTTGGAACCAGTCTTCTTGGGAGGGGCTGGCCATTCTTCCACTCTGGAGATGCCTCTGGTGAGAGGCGCAGAGCAGGAGTGGGCATACTTGTTGCTCCTCATCTTGGAGTCTGTACGTTGGGGTTCACCCCGGTGAATGAGACAGTTACCTCCATCAGCATATATGTGGGGGGATGGGTTCTGACAGTAGTTTGTGCTTTTGCACCACACAGCAGTCCAGATTACCCACCCTTTTTGAAGTCCTTTTAGGAGGGCTACTGGAGAGTGCCCCTCTGGGGACTCCT